CTCCCGAAGTGGTAGCTTTCATCATTGTAAGTTGTGCCACGTACAAGACGAAGAAGGACCTGGAAGAGGAGAGCATGAGCTTCTTTGTATCTGCATCAGTTAGTCATCCCTCTTCAGAAATAGTTCTTGGAAACAGGCTGCAGGGGCTGTGGCGAAATGACACAGCCTTAGTATTTTTAAAGCACTTTTGCATAACTGTCTGCATAATGAGATGCTCCTCTTATACAAGTTGGTGCTTATTGATTTATTCTGGGGATCTTTTCGGGTCTGGTCCACAAGCTGAAGTTTGGCAAACTTGAATTCTGTGTGGCAGAAGGGAGCGACCCAGTGTGAGTGGCCTGCTCACCACCCTTCTGCGCTGTAGCATGTGCCGATGAGAGGTACCAGGGAAGGGAGGGAATCCATTGGTTCTGTTGACCTCGACGCGGGAGCGTGAGGAGCAGAGACAGGCAGAGTGGATGCATCCTCACCACGGGCTGGCCCTGCGCAGCCACAGGACAAACTAGCCGGGAGCCCAGCGGGAAGGAGGCAGCAAAAGCGGATGATACGAGCTGTGGCACTGGCCTGATACGAAGGGGATGAACAGAACGTGGAATTAGGATGTGGTCTCCCAGTCTCCTAATGATTCTGTAGGATGAGTCTAAGTCTAAACCTGAATCTGAAGTGCTGACCCACAGTGGTCAGTCGTGATAGGACCTTACGAGGGCTGCAGGCCGTCTTTATATTTATACTTTCTGACTTGCTTCCCCTCCAGTGGGACCAGGCTGTCAGACAGGCCTGGGAGGCCCTGGAGTTAGAGGGAGGGCAGAGGCCAACTTGCAGGGGAACTGTGACCAGGGCAGAACCCACTGCTCCGAGCTCACTGTCGCCTCTGGTGCTGGGTCCGGACCAGCTCTGCTTCCCTCAAGGCCCAGCACACCTCTGGTGTCCACGCGTGCCTCAGAGCCCAGTCTGTCTCCGCAGTCCACTCTGTCCTGGCGTTCCCGTGAGGCCGCCTCGGGCCACAGCTTCTGGGCTCCTGTGTGTTCTTTCTTCTCAGGCTTTACCTTAGGGAGCAAAATTAGAGAGTAAATGGCCACTAGCCTCAAGACATGAGAGCCCCAAGAGTCAGGTATAGCCACAAATTGTTATGATGGACGTGAGTGAAGAGGGATCCATGTCCCAGGGCCTGGGTATGGAGGTGATGCCGGAAACTGTGACAGTTTGGGGGGTGTCTGGACTGAGAGCGGGAGTCTGAGTGGGAATGGGGAGAGGCCTGAACGAGGAGAGAAAACATCCCAGGAGGCCCTTGACCATACTGGGAGAAGGCCCAAAATGCAGGTGTCAGCATGAAGCAGGATGCGTTTGATAAAAAATGTTTACGTGGGATTAAAACTCAGATTCCTTACAGGACATTCCCTTGGGACTTCAAGTTGGTTAAAAACAAACAAACAAAAAATTCGGTACCTGAGGGTGATCAAAGAAAATCAGAATTCAAGAGCTAGGACACTAAGTGAAATGGTTATGGGTAAACCTTATCATGGTCTCAGCCCTAGAGAATGGGAAAGAATCCACAGTGGAGAGAATGTCTTGGATATATTTGTACTATATCTAGCATGTGTCCTATGGCAGCTATTAAGCTGGTCTGAGGGGGTGACAGTGGGAGATCAGAGGGCATCCTTTGTGCTGGCCCTAAGAGATGAGGGGAGCTTGGGGACACATGCATTTCTGTAAAGCATTTGTTGTTGGTACGTAGCAGGTGCCCGTTTATGGAGCTCTCTCTATGCCAAACGCTAACCGAGCCTCGTGACCTGCATTGTCTGTCCTCTCACAACCCAGCCAGGGGAGTGTAATTACTCTCCTTGTAGCTACGAGATCACATGCTCAGTGAGTGTAAGGAATTTGCCTCGGCCACTCAGAATAGAATTTAAATCCAGTTTCAAGTGACATCCCTCGTTCTTGAACCCACGTGGATGGAATTGATGTGGAAGATATCTTCCACGTTATACGCACACTGCTTGAGGTAGATAGAGCCAAAGTGAGTTTAGGAATCAAAAGTGACATTGTCATTTGGCCCCTTTGGTTCGCATCCTGGGGTTGTTCTCTTCAGCTGGTAAGCCCTCTTATGTTAGCTTCATCTTTTTCCTCTCCACTTTGACTGTTGTCCACTCTAATTTTAGAAATATGGTTTCTGAAGTAGAGACATTGAGAGATGGGGTTCTGCTGCCCCCTTTCCTACCTGTGTGTTCTGTAAAGATGATTCCTGTATAAAAGGCCACATCTAATGGTAGCATCGTTGGTTGTAGGGGGTGAGCCACAGAAATAAAATTACAGTCTGTGGCTCCTGTTGTGACCTGCTAACTTTTACTGCCCCTTTGTTTGTCTTTTGTTCAGTGTGCCCTCTTCCTGCTACTCCCATGTTCGAAAAGTTGATCATTTTATAACAGACATGAGATTTTCCATGGGCTTCTTCTCTGTAGAGTTGTCCATTTAATTTGATGCCTTCCAGGGGTAAAAAAATATATATATGCCACTCAAACTCTGCATCCCAGACGGAATAAAAGACCCTGAGAGAAATGAAAGGTTGTGCTAGCATAAAAAATATCTCGTGTCTATATTTTTTGATCAGAGGTCTTCTGAATAATGGATGGGTCTGCTCATGAAAATCCTATTTCTAGCAGTGAAACTGAGTCTGATTGGGACTACGTATGATTGCAAAGGGCACCGTAATCTCCTGCTGCTTGAAGTTCAGAATAGTGCAGCACACTTAGGCTTAGTTTGGAGTAGACTTTTCAAGGAGCTTGATAAATCCAGGCTTACTCATGCTCCTCTGGGAGTCTCTCCCAAGGAAAGAATTCTAAGTAGAAAGAGAATTTTTATGCAACAATTTTTCAAAGCAGAATACTTATCCTAGTGGAAAAAATTGTAAACCTTAATGTCAGAGAAAGGTGACCAATTGAAGTATTTTTAAACGATTCAGTAAAATAGTATATCACATGAAAAATGCTATAATGCTTTTAAAAGTGGATACAAGTTGAAAATATGTTATGATTGAAGCTATGGGAATAAGAACTATATATTTAAAATTTTCAAGAAGAAATGAAAAGACCATTAAGCCCTCAAGGATTGTGTTTTGGTGGTAGGACTATGGGCAACTTGTTTTCAAAGCCCGTATTTCCCTCATACAACTCAACAAGAGGAAGACAAAGAACCCAATTAAAAAATGGTCAGAGGACCTAAAGAGATACCTTTCCAAACAGGACATACAAATGGCCAAGAGACATATGAAAAAACGCTCAATGTCACTAATCATCAGAGAGATGCAAATTAAAACAACAATGAGGTATCACCTCACACCTGTCAGAATGGCCGCCATCAACAAATCATCAAAAAGTGTTGGTGAGGGTGTGGAGAAAAGGGGACTCTAGTGCACTGCTGGTGGGAATGCAGACTGGTGCAGCCACTTGGAAAATACTATGGTGTTACCTCAAAAAGTTAAAAATTGAACTGCCATTTGACCCAGTGATCCCTCTTCTAGGAATATACTCCAAGAAGCCCGAAATACCAATCAGAAAGAATATATGTACCCCTATGTTCATAGCAGCACTATTTACGATAGCTATGATCGGGAAACAGCCCAAGTGTCCATCATGAATGAATGGATAAAAGGGCAGTGGTACATGTACACCATGGAATACTATGCAGCTATAAGAAAGAAAGATCTCTTATCTTTTGAGACGGCATGGAGGGACCTGAAGAATATTATCCTATGCGAAACAAACCAAGCAGAGAAAGACAAGTATCACATGATCTCACTTATTTGTGGAATATAATGAACAAAACAAACTGATAAACAAAATAGACTCAGAGACATAGAAGTAGAGTACAGACTGACAAACCTCAGAAGAGGGGGTGGGGCAGGGAGGGAAGAGATAAACCACAGAACTTATATGTATGTACGCATAACCAGTGGACAACAAAGCTGGGGACGGGGCGGGGGGGGGGGATGGGGAGGAGGATGAAAATGGGGGAAAAAGGAGAAACATCTCTAAAAAAAATAAATTAATAAAAATAATTTAAAAAATAAATAAAGCCCGTATCTCCATATGAGGAGCAGCACCTCTCATATCCTTGAAAATCATAAAGAATACCAAGAATTGAGTTTCAAACATTTAAAAATCATTTCAGGTCTCCTGTGCCCATTTGCAGACCTTGGTCCCCCTTTCCCATCTGCATTGTGTGGATGACTCTGGGTAAATGCATAGCTCTTAGCCCTGTCCTCAACCCACACAGCAGTCAGGGAGAATGGATTAACTGTGGAAAATTGGAAATGAAGATGAGTTCCCTGTTCCAGTTCTCCCTTGTCCTCCCATGCAAGTCAAGGTAAAGAGTTTGCTAAGTAGGGAGGGACAACCTGCTCGGAAGAAATGCATTTGCCATCATATGAAAGAAACACAGTGCTAATTAGAACAACTCCTCTTTGCATTGTTTCTGAGCTCTCCTGGTTTTTCCACCTTGTGGATAAACAAGTGTTGCCTGGGTCTCCATCTCAGACACTTATCCATCAATCAGCAAATATAGTCTATGGTTCTTTTTTCATCCAAAACATTGTGCCTTTTGGAATTACGTCATTTATTATTCACTGAAGACGATGTTTGGGGTGGGGGTGGCAGTTGCTAAGTCCTTTTCACTGGGCCTTTCATCGTCGAGTGTGTTCCCTGCTTTCCAGTTGCTACGTACTGTCAAGTGACAAACACAGTTCAGCAGTTCATCTTCACCTCCGTAACTCGTAGTGCTTCCAAAGAGAACAATGGCCTCTTTCTAGTGGGAAACGTGTGGTGTGTCACGGAGCACAGGGGTCACGTGCCTGTGCATTGAATACTAATAGTGTAGTGATCGAAAGCGCGAGTGGGAGAAACAACAGGGATCACAACAGTTATTCAGTGCATGTCTGTATTTTGGAGGGGCAGAGAGAGGGCACACTTGTTTCTTATTTTCCCCTCCCTTTTCTCCCTCTTTAGACAAAGCCTGTTGCGTTTGCAGTGCGGACAAATGTCAGCTACAGTGCAGCCCATGAAGATGATGTTCCGGTGCCCGGCATGGCCATCTCCTTCGAAGCAAAAGATTTTCTGCATGTTAAGGAAGTAAGGAAAAGAATGTGCATTTCTGTCTGCATGATTTCTTCCCTAGCAGCGGTATTTCTTTCTTCTTGTTGCTGTGAACTAGCGTTGCCCAGAGCGGCAGGTGTAGAGCCTGCACAGGAAGTGGGGCCTCTCAGCCATTCCGAATATGAATATAACCTTGATCAAGAAGAAGGCGGTCACAGGCCTCTCGCGACAATTTCAAGGCTCCCCTGGGCTCTGTGACTCAGAAACTGGGAACTACTGGAGGAGATGATCCCTTTTGATGCTTAACCTGTGCTTTTTATTTTCATGTGTCACCTTACCTATATGGTGTTTTCTTCTCATGTCTCAAGTTTAACCATCTGGGGAGGGTTGAATAATAATATCTAGAATTCGTGACCTGTCCTGTCTGCTGACAATGTGTAAGCTCAGACCATGGGTGTCCTTGCCCTCCCTGATGATTGATTTCTGCAGTGGATGGGAGAGTGGCAAGAATTGAAGGCAAGAAAATCCCTTTTGCTCCAAGAGAGAAGCCACCACCTTCCAGTTAATGACTCAAAGCTGTCTGTTAGACAAATTCACCCTTAATTAAGGTTTATTTCGAGTCAACATTGATCAAATGCATGCTGTGCAGAAGAACACTGTTAAATGGCCAGACATCCCCCTGCCTGCTGTCCTCAGTGTGTGTGCCCTGCGGGATTCACAGGTGGAGTGTGGGGGATGGAAAGTCCTAGAAAGCACACGTGAATGTAACTGTTCACTGCATAAACGTCGTAACAAAGGAGGTGATGACCGCCAATTAAAAGAGCCTAGCGAATTTAGAGCCTCCCATTTCATTCCTGTTTAAAAGAGAGGGGGGATACTGGCAAGGAGGGAAGGATAGGAAGTCTTCCCAAGTGATATGACTTGATGACAGGAAATCACATTAATCCAGGGTCTTTTGCTGATGGCTGGTGCTTGGCAAGGAATTCCCACCATGAACAGAAAAGTAACCAGAATGGATATTCTTTGAAATGTCCAGGAACAGACTTGAAAAAATTCAGTTGAGGGAAATCACACCAAATCATAAAGGTTTAGGATAAATATTCCATCTACAAGAGAAATTTGCAACATCGGCAGAAGTGGAGAAATTGTCTGTGAACACTGTACCGCGCTAATTTTAAACACGTTTGCACGAAAGGTACATTTTTCTGCGATGCAAAATATTCCAGGTAGATTTCAGTATTGCTCTCTCAGTCTTAGTATTTCTAATCCATCAGATTCTGTGAGAGAAAGCTCTCTGTAACACTCTCTAGTTCTTAATGGTCTCTTGTTAGGAAGGGCAGTTAGTCTTTGAACACGGAGAGTTTAACCTACTCAGTGACGGCAGCAGCTGGGATAGAACTCAGACTAGTCTTAATCCTTAGCTAGCTTCTTCGTGTTAACTAAAAAGACTTCACTTTCATGCACTCAACCCATGAACCTAAGGGTCTTGAACTGTGATAGCTGAAGCGTTGTTAACTGTGATTCCCGTAATGAGACTTCTGTGAACTGATCTTAACAAATCTGATTTTGTGTTTAGAAATTTAACAATGACTGGTGGATAGGGCGACTGGTTAAAGAAGGCTGTGAAATCGGATTCATTCCAAGCCCAGTGAAACTAGAGAACATGAGGCTGCAGCATGAACAGAGAGCCAAGCAAGGGAAATTCTACTCCAGGTATGAGAAGAACACCGAGTGAGTGCGCTCGGACGGCACCAGCACCCACGCGCCGTGTTTGCTGTGTTCCACAGTCTTGACTACGTGTTATCCAGCGGACTAGGGTCAGGGCTCACCGATAGTATCACAAGTTCTGTGTTTTTAAAAGTTCACCCCCACATCTCCTTTACATCCGATTTGGGAGAGAATCAAATTCCGTATTATCATCAGTGGAAAGAGCTAAGGTCATAGAACAGTAAGTTCGGGCTTCAGTGCAGAGGCAGTTTTACTGAAAATATTCTGGCGCTGAGCAAACTTGGTGACTGATAGTATCTGTCACTGTCGGGCCTGGCAGGAAGACGTTTGGAGATGACAGCCCTAGAAATCATTGGCAGAGAGCAGCCCTCGTGGCCTGCTCGATTTCATTTTCACTTGAGAAAATCAATTTTTCATTCTCCCTACTTCTAAGTACTTAAAGGGAAACTCTACAAGAAACCAGTTAAAATTGCCTTTGCAGGTAGCAATTAAATGAGTAATGTAGTAGGCTGGGGCTGAATAACCCTTCTAGTGTCTGGCAGTCATGTGCCCCTCCCTGAAAGGACCGCGAGAAGGGTTGCTCAGACAGAGGGACTCTGAAATAGAACTCCATGCAGCCAAGGCCAAGGACGCGGCACGCCTCCCCGCGTGAAAGGCGGTGACGTGGGCAAGTCCCTTCTTTAATGTGAATAGCTAGGCCCCTGTTCTCTCCAGCTTACAGTGCATTTGTTTATGTTAATGATGCAAATTCTTTGTCAACGATCATGTTTTAGTGTGAGCAAGAATTTTTTTTCAAGTGTCCACACACAAGTAAAATAGAAGATGCTTTTTAGTGTGAAACATCCATCTTCTTTAGTATTTCGTAACGGTCAGGCTCTTTCTGTTCAGATGGCTTCCTCCCTTTTTTTGAGAACGCTACCCTATATTTGACTTTTTTATTATTCCTTGGGTTAATGGGGGCTCACAGATTGTGAGATGCATTTGGCCATCAAAAAGTAGAGGCGTGGCCCTGGCCGGTTTGGCTCAGTGGTTAGAGCGTCGGTCTGCGGTCCAGAGAGAACCGGGTTCGGTTCCCACTAAGGGCACGTACCTCGGTTGCAGTTTGTCCCCGGCCCCGGTTGGGGTCATGCGGGGAGGCAGCCACTCGATGTGTCCCTTTCATGTCGATGTTTCTCTCTCTATCTTCCTCTCTCTCCCTCCCGCTCTACCTAACAAAAATGGAAAAATGTCCTCGGGTGAGGATTAAAAAAAACAAAAGTAGAGGCGTGGAGGTAAGCAAAGCGCACACCTTTTGCCTGTGGGATTGGGAAGATTTCTAGTGTTCTGTTGGCTTTAGTGCGCATTTTTCTATTCTCCGTGTTGATAATGGTATCTTAAAACTAGTCAGTAAAATGTTATAATGTGGAAAATCTCCATCTTCCCAGGCAGGGGCAGTTGGTAGTATGGTGTAGAGTTTGTTGAGGTTCGAAGCTATCTCAGCCGGAGGGTGTTTTGTTTGGGTTTTAGCTTGTTAGGGATAATTCAGCACTATCCAGCATTTTCACATCAAATCACTGGAGAAGAGGTTTCCGTGGTCAAATGGGTTTAGGACAGCAAAAAGTTATTTTAGGATTTTTTAGAGCCTTTACAATGTTAATGTGCACTGTCAGTCTGGACGGTGGGGGTGGGGATGTTTTTCTTGCATCTACTTAAATTATCTGATGAAAACCTTTCTTGGTTCATGTCTCAGAAAGAGTGCTTTGTAGAATGCATTGCAGAAAATGTGGGATGGACTCTTGTGGAGATAGACTGGTGTACTTTTCTCTGCTTCTTCATATACACACTGAGAAAGAAAAAACCACTTCTAAAGGAGTAGGGAGGGAGGCGTTTTTGCAGAAATGGTGACGGAAGCAGTTTCCTCTGCCTCCCCCGGGGCGTCCCTGGTCTCCTGTTAGTGATCAGCTCAGCATTCCAAGAACCTGTGGGGACAGCATGTCTATTAGAACCTCCACCTCACAGAGGAGGGGACAGGCCCAGAGGAGTTAGGAACCTGGCCACGGTCACCGACCTGGAAAGTGATGGAACCAGGGTGGAAACCGATCAGCTGACTGCAGCCTGACCTCCGATGGCCACCGTGCTGACGGTGAACCAGGCAGCCAGCACCTGAGGCAGCAAGCACAGCACAAACCATGGTCGCCATCGCCAGTGGTAGTATTCGCTATAGCAAATACAGTGTTTGAGACTGCATTTTTTTTTAAGTCCTATATGATCTCTGTACTTGGAGAGGGTAACAACATCTCATAACTTAGTCTAGAGAACTGACTTGAACTATGGTTCCCTTTCGTATAACCATAGACATTTTGCTTCGATTTTCTTTTTTTTTTGTTGTTCAGGTAGAGTGGGAGGGAGAGAGAGGAACAGAGAGAGAAACAGCGATGTGAAAGGGACACATCGAGTGGCTGCCACCCGCACAACCAACCAGGGCCGGGGACAAACTGCAACCGAGGTACGTGCCCTTAGCGGGAACCAAACCCGGGTCTCTTAGGACCACAGGCCGACGCTCTAACCGCTGAGCCAAACCGGCCAGGGCTGCTTCGATTTTCTTGATGTCATTTTGTCCTGTCTCTTTAAGCATTTCCCTAAATATGTGAAAATATTTTTACTTCCTTTCAGAGGTTTTTACATTTGTCTTCTAACATTTTGAATAGAGTCTTGTTTTGAGGACATAACCAGGAGTTAGCAGCATTTAAAAACTTTGATATATAGCCTGGCCAGTGTGGTTCAGTGGTTGAGTGTCAACCCATGCACCAAGGGGTCACCAGTTTGATTCCTGGTCAGGGCATATGCCCAGGTTGTGGGCCTGATCCCCAGTGGGGGGCATGCAGGAGGCGGCCAATCAATGTTCTCTCTCATCAATATTTCTATTTTTCTCCCTCTCTCTCTCAACAATAAAGAAAATATTTTAAAAAGCAACAACTCTGATATATAAAACCCGATGAAAGGCGAAGGGTGTACAATTTTGGCACAGCCCAAGAAAGTGGCATTTTTATAAAAATGAAAATAAGGACGAATTTGCATTCTGAACATTTTGACAATTTGAAATGTTTGTCACAATTTTACACAATTTAAATAATACTTTGACTTTTATTAAAATTCAAAGAGAATGTAAAACAAACCCATACTTGAACTGAAATTAGCCTTAGTACTTTAGAAAAAGAAAAATACCGGTAGAAATGTTTTGGTCCTGGTAATGGGTATTGTGTAACTACCAGACATTGTTTCTATAAATAGCACTTTTTATTCATTTTACTTACTGTCTGGTACCCTTGTTAAATGTACTGAAGTATCTTTGAAAACCTTAAAATATGTAGGGGCCTTATGCTAGTTGCTTAAAGTTTAGGATATTTGTTTTATGCATTAAAATCTCAGTAGAGCCCTGGCCGGTTTAGCTCAGTGGTTAGGGTGTCGGCTCGCAGATCAGAGGGTCTCAGGTTTGATTCCCAGTCCAGGGCATGTACCTGGGTTGCAGGTTTGATCCCTGGCCCTGGTCGGGGTCATGCAGGGGGCAACCAATCTACGTTGCTCTCTGTCTCTCTCTCCTCTCTCTCTCCCACCCTCTCCCTCCCTCCCTCCTTTCCACTTATCACTCTATCTAAAAAAATTAATGGAAAACTATCCTTAGGTGAGGATTAACAACAATACCAACAAAATCTCAGTATAGTAGCAATAAAATTTCGCCTGCTGCTGGTGTTTTAGTGGAACTTGCATTTTTGTATTATTGTTTGCATAAGTAAATACTGCACTTTGATGCACAGACACTGCAACAAATTATTTCCACCAGACCCTAGCTTGGCTTTGATAAGAAACTTCAGGCAATACGACTGTCCTCCTGAAATTCCATGTCACTCTTTTAAGCAATTCCTCTCCATCTCCATTCGTGAGGGCCATTTAGTAATGTGTTCTTTAGTGTGCTGGTACACTGGTAAAACAAAAATGCTGTTGTTCTAATGTGAACTCCAAACCTTCTAAGACACAGAACCATGACTTACATAGAGCTTTAGAATTTGGTGGTTCTGAAGTATATGCCCTTCAAATCACCCCTAACTTAACCGAGTTGAATTCTCCACGTTAGCCATGTTTGAGAAGTGTTCTGGACGTGACCTGAGGTTTAGGACTCCGTGGCACACACTGTCGTGGGCCTTCAAGGTTAGCTAGTTTTGGTATGGCTGTGTTTTTCCTTCATAGGTTGTTCACGAAAACTTGAGTCCTTTCAGCTGTAGTATACCAAAAAGAATCAAGCTAAGACAAAGGAGAAAGGAGCCAAATAAAAAGGAAACAATACGTTTCTGTTGCTTCGAAGAGTCTCTGAGAGCAAAGAAACAGAAGAAAACTGTTGTCTGCCTGTGATCCTGGCTGAGAATCGGAGGCTGCAGAAAAGACCTGAGTTCTCTTCCATTCTCCAGGGCCTTGCAGAATTACACCTGGAATTTGGAACAGAGCCTGGGACATGGCTGCTTGCAGAACTGCAGGAATCTTGGCTGGGACGTTACTTTCTGCCTCCTTTTAGGGAAGACAGATTTGAAGTTCCACAAAAACACAATGAGTTATGTTTATTGAGCAGTACAAATGTTTTAATGTCTGAAATAAGTGTCAGGTTTAATATACATTTTTGCTTTACTACAGTAAATCAGGAGGAAATTCATCATCCAGTTTGGGTGACATAGTACCTAGTTCCAGAAAATCTACACCTCCATCGTCTGGTAAGTAGGTGACAAGTGTGAACATTACAGACTGCATTTCCTACTTTCCTCGGCCTCCCGAGCTGTTAGTTTGCACACACCGAGTCCCTGCGGGAACCTGGGAGTGGCCAAAGGGGTCAAAATTAAGAACGCCCAGATACAGGATCTGGGGAAAGATTTTTCTGGCTTGTGGGAAAGAAAGTAAAGGAAATATGTCAGTGTGTCCCCTGTCCATGCCTTAAATGATCAAAGTGATGAAGGTGTTTAACTTGGTTTGTGTTCCTGGCTTCGGCTCAGGTGCCCAGCACACTGTCATGCCCGTTAACCACCACAGTGCGTGTGGAGTTGTGTCCCAATGTTAAGTAACACGAGAAGAAGAATGAAAACTTTGCAAAGGAAGATAAAATGAGGGAGTTACAAGCTCGACATGAGCTATACTCAAAAGGCTCTGTGGAAGATAAATAAAAGTATAAAAATTTTTTTTAAAAAGATAAAAATGCTTGTGGGAAGACTGTTCTATTTACAAAGGAGCAGATTCATGCTTAGGGTTCTAGATAAAATAATGGACACCCAGTTGAAGTTGAATTTCAGGTAAACAATGAATAATTTTTTAGTATAAGTCAATATTGTCTGAGATATACTTATACTAAAAATAGTACAGTGATACCTCGGTTCTCGAACGCCTCGGATTTCGACCAAATCGGTATTCGACCAGGAGATTCGAGAAACTTTTGTCTTGGAATCCGAACAAATATTTGGAACTCGAACTTCCGAGATGAGCCGAGTTGAGCCGAATGGCGTTCATTCGGCCCAGCGCGCCTTGCTCGCGTCCTCAGTGTGAGTGCAGAGAGAGAGTCACGCTTTACACTGAATTTAACCCTTAGACATACTGTACACTTTTATTTCTTGTTGAGACTTATGTTTTTCTACATATTATATACAAATTAGGCCAGTAAATAGGCATTTTCTGGGGCTTGGAACGAATTAATCCAGTTTCCATTATTTCCTATTGGGTTTCATTGCTTCGGTTCTCGAACAATTTGGTTCTCGACCGTCCTCCTGGAACGAATTATGTTCGAGAACCGAGGTATCACTGTATTTATTGCTTATCTGAAATTCAAACTTCACTGAATTTTACTCGCTCAGTGTGGCAGCTGAGCCATCTGTAGAGCCTGGGGTTCCACAGACTAGCCGGGTCGGTGAAAGCCGTGATCAGTCTTGTTTGCTACGAGGCGCAGCAGAGAGTCGCAGTGAGATTGTGAGGACGGCCAGCAGAGCACCTGAGCAGAATGGAGGTGCAGCAGAGAGTCGCAGTGAGATTGTGAGGACGGCCAGCAGAGCACCTGAGCAGAATGGAGGTGCCTAGAGAGTCTCAGTGAGATTGTGAGGACGGCCAGCAGAGCACCTGAGCAGAATGATTCCGCAGCTGATTTCTAGGAGGCCGAGATTGGGAAGAAGTCAGTACAGAGACCAGCTCGTCAACGAGGTTCAGGGACTGTGACCGCTGCTTCTTAGGCACAGGATTCCCCTGGGACTAATCAAACCCGTTCCGGACGTTGGGGGCTTTTAGAGCCCAATCAAGGGCCTCTTAGTAAAAACAACAAGACTTTTTCCATGAGCAAGATCTGAACACAGTCAGAAATAAGTCATTATAGGGTGCACATTGATTTCAAAAACCATGTACGTATAATTTGGAACAATTCTAATTTGCTCAAACTTAAGTAAAATAGTATGTTTGAAAGGAACACTGAAGCTTTTCTGGGTATCATGTGAGGCGGAGGTTGTCCCTTGGCCAGCGAGAGGTCTTTCCTGAAGGCACAGAAGGAAGGAGGCTTGTCTGAGCGGCTTCCCCAGCGTGTGGCGGGGCGGTGGCTGCAGAATAGGTCGCTGTGTTTTGAAGCTGTCAGGAGGCCGCAGAGGCCAGAGCCGAGGCTCCTGAGCTGGGAGCAGGCTGCGTCCCATGATCAAGCGGCAGCTCCTCCGCAGCGTCAGCCCCTCTAGCCAGGGAGCCCCGCGGTCCCTGTGGGCACTCGCTGCCTTCTCGCCGCCTTCTCGCCCTCGTGGCTACAGCACGAGAGCAGGTGCATTCGGAAGAAGATGTTGGCATATTTGTAAAATCCCATTTCATTTTTGTCGCCACATGTTTGTCATTGCTAAGAAGGAAGTTCAATGAAGGGTTTAATGTAATAAAATCAAGATGACTTAAAACTTTACCCACGTTTTCTACAGATACAGGACTGAGGAATAACTTCTGAATACCAAGAGTAGAAAATACTGCTGTCTGAGTGGATTAGAAATGTTTAACCAACTACAAATTTTATTGTAGGGAAGTCAGAATCGTGGTATACCTTTTTTTGTATCAGTCGCCCACCTTATCTAAAAGAACACTTCCTAAATTCTACAGGGAGGGTCCCCCACCCACCTGGAGGGAACACCGTCTAAGCCCTCAGTGGGGATTGGCCTGCGATGGGCATAGTCATCTTGGTTTCCCAGAGGCCCTGTCTCCAGCTCTCCTTGCCCAGGGCGAGACCAAAGAATATAAGCATCTGCCCAAACTAAATATATTTGGAGGTTCTGACGGATTTGGAAAAGGAAACATTTCAACTTCCTGTCTGGGAAATGGCATGCTGTACAGTGCATACCCGCACCCACACAAATGTATGCCTCCACCTTACTCCTGGGTGCCACTCAGCTTGACCCAAGTGTCTAAGATCAAACTAAAACTTAGATCTCAAAAAATGTTCCCAAGGCTTGCTATCTATCTATCTATCTATCTATCTATCTATCTATCTATGCTATGAGGAAGAAGAAAAGAAACTAATTTCAAATTTATGGAAGCTGTTTTTCCCAAGTAAATACCAATGTTTGCCAAGGTATGCAAATATAAGTAAGAAATTAAAAAGGGGTAATGTTTCTCAGCATAAGGAGAGCTGTTGAGTAGAATAAAGTATATAGAACTATGAAAAGAATTAAACATACTTCTTAACTCTTAGTAAATGTCTTTCATGTGTTTTGAAAGTGGCCAGCTGTTGGAATGTTTGCAGCTTGGGGTTTTGAGTCCTTGTGACCAAAGGCAGGTACATTTCAAGCCCGACTCAGGCTGTATGTGGGTAGCCAAGAGCGGGGCAATGTCACAGCTCAACTTTGTATACCTTTCCCCTCCTCCTTTAAAAAATAAAAAAATCCATCTGCTGATCACAGCAGAATCAATGGATAAATCATAAAATCCAGTCCATAGACTTTGCTATCACAGGGTCCTGTCAGCTCTGACATGCAAGCAGGTCTCGGTTTCTGGAAGGCTCTCAGGGTATACTGTCCCTTTAAGTTGAACTTTGTAGGCTCAGTAGCAGATGACAAAGGTGAACGTATACAGGAATTTACCACCAGAAGAGAAACTTACCTGATGTTCGTTAAGACGTAGTATAGGAATAGTGAAGAAGTGACCCAGATCCTCTCCATCATATCTAGGAAGACACCAGTGACATGCTTATTTACTGAGATGGGACTCAAGGAAAAACATTATAGGGTCCCATAAAAGTCAGCAGCAGCCCGGCTGGTGTGGATCAGTGGTTGAGCATGAACCCATGTACCTAAAGGTCTCCGGTTCGATTCCAGGTCAGGGCACATGCCCAGGTTGTGGGCCCGATCCCCAGTGGGAAACATGCAGGAGGCGGCCAATTGATGTTCTCTCTCACTGATGTTTCTATCTCTGTCTCCTTCTCCCTTCCTCTCTCTCACCAACGTCAATAAAGAAAAAAAAAAATTTTTTTTTAAAGGCAGCATTGACCCAAAGCCCTGGGTCCATTTTATAATGTTCCCTGGCACAGTATGCGTACAGCTAAAGAGGAAGACATGTTTACTAAGTACATCTAGCTGAATCCCTGGAATTAACTCAGGCCATTATTCCCTTCACTGAAGAGAGAATCATGCTTCATCTTTATGCCCGCAATAGCTGATATTTGCAATATTGCACAGACCACCCCAGGTTTTACATGTCATCACAGGTGTTTGACCTCATCAAATGAAAAGGAACAATTAAACAGGAGAGCCTTGTTTACAGAAAGGCAGAGTCATCTAATATCCATCATAATTTCAAAACTGGAAAAGAATGTGACACCTGTCAGGCAATCTCCTGTCTCTGAAAGGTTAGCAGTGGTGCTGTGCGCACAATTCAGCCCATGTGTCACAGGGAAGGGCAGTGGCTTTGCAGCACCCGCTGTCCGTTATTTCAAGGGGGTATGTTGTCCCTTAAATCTGAATGTGCTGTGGTTTCTGGTGGGAGGTAGCGGGTAACACGCTCTGATGCTCTCCTGGGTGATGGATGGCCTTCTTTCCTTCTACTTGACCTCGTCTAAGCCACAGGACAATTTTCTAGTGAGCCCAACTCTGTGATATCTTCTGCACCCTGACACTGGGGCCAGGACCCCCCCGGGGAGCAGAGGGAACCGGAAGAGCCACCGGCTGTGAGGAGGGCCCTCCCCTCAGGGCGCCAGTGCGCATGGCAGGAAGGGACTCCAGGGCCGGAGGGCGAAGTTCTGTGTCCTGGCTCTGCCCAACTTTTGCCAAGAACAAGTCCTTTAAACTCTTTAAGCGTTTCTCTTTTAAAACTACGAGGGTTGAAAATGGTCTTTAAAGTCCTTTCCATCTCTGATTCTACCGTTGATCAAATTCTCTAGTAACAGCACGTGGAAGTGTTTTATAAACTTCAAAATAGGATGATGGACCTTTTCAACATTTATTTAGCACTTAATTTTCAAGTGATATGTGTTCAGGGTGAAAAGATGTTAAAAAGTGAAAGCGCAAACCGAAACCTCTCCTCCAGCTAAGGAGACCAGTGTCCTATTCTCTTGGGTCCCTGTGCCCTCCCACCCTGCCTCTTGTATGACCTCCAGTGGCTTTGTGGACATCATAGGAAGTCTCCTTATGTCCCTTTATTAGACTCATGTCATTTGGAGATCATTGGACCTGGTGTTTCCCCAGTAGCCTTCAGTCAGGGTGCACATATCATCCTGAAATCATTTTCACCCTGCCCTTTCAGAACCCTCTCTCAATCCTTTCCCTGTGTATGCCTTCTTTGTGTGGTCTGACGTTATGATTTTCTATTCTCTCTTTCCCTTAAATGCCTGTTGCAATTTGAGAGAACTTTTCACGTTGTCCTATTTTCACACAAAACCAAGCAAACTTGGAAATCCGAGGCACCCGTGATGAAGGTTCCCGCTGGAGTTGCTTATTACCTGAAAGCTTGTTTAAGATATTGCAAGAAGCGAAGTGTTGTATGGAAAGTATCAGTATTATATTTGCAACTACAAATGGAAAATGTTTTTCTAAGAATATTTTTTGAGACTAGCGTAAAGTTGATCAAGCAAACAGATAATAAAGGCCACTTTCAGTTTTGTTAGATTTAATTACATTGTATTCTTATTGTGCTTTACCTTAAATTTTACTTTGTTTACTGAGCACTCATTATAAATCTTTTGCTAAGGTTAATTTTTATTTGCTTTCATTTTATTTATAATCTCTTTTTCCTCTCCTGTCTACCTGATGATTTTTGAATTGTTTGTCTGTATATAGCTATAGACATAGATGCTACTGGCTTAGATGCAGAAGAAAATGATATTCCAGCAAACCACCGCTCCCCTAAACCCAGTGCAAACAGTGTAACGTCACCCCACTCCAAAGAGAAAAGAATGCCCTTCTTTAAGAAGGTAACATTAACTTCCAAGCTCCCATCTGTCCGCCTGCTCAATTGCACTGCGTCACATTTCTAGTCCTGTTGACTGTCTGCGTCCTTTGATGAGCCAATAACATGCATGCTCTGTTATTCTTTGTTTCTTTTCCATGCTGCTGTAGCTAAGCAGAAGCAGAAATCGGTAAGTCTACATTGACATAAGCTGTGTTTATCCTGCCACTGGCATCATTAGCATTCAATCCCACGGTTTCATGAAATGCAAGCATTTCTGTCCTAAGAAAAGAACCTACCAAACAGCTAATTGAGTCCATGCATTGCAAACCAACTAAATTCAGTGAGTGACCTGTGAAAACACCATTACAGTACTTATCCTTTTTGATGGAATACTATCTACCACCAAGGGAACTTGTTTAAACACGTAAGGCTGTCGACCACCGACGCCGCCCTAGGATGCACCTCCATTGCGCATGCTTATTCTGTCTGTCTTTCTCTCTCTCTTTTTTTCTGGAAATTTAACTTATAATCAAGCATATTAAAGCCATTATTCGATTCTGATTTATGATATCCAGATACATAGCTTGTACTAAAAAAAAAAAGTTATTCAAGTCTTAATTTAGTCAGTATTTAAACTTCTAATCCATTAGGTGCAAAATCTGCAGATGAACAAGACCAGTGGAAAACTGCAGGCTTGTTTTGGCGGTTTACTGTGAGTTTTTCCTATTGTCATATATAAATACTCTCCCGATGTTCTCGCCTCCTCCATCAGTCAGATGTCAGCATGTCACCTTTTGGACAAGGGGGCAGTGGCCATGCGTAGGGCCTTTGCCACTGGCCAACCAAGGTACCACCCAGCGATGCCCCTCGTCCCCTGCCTGAACTCTAGGTAGTTCTGAGCTTTTTACCCCAGACAAAGTCTGGTTTCTTTCCGCCCATTTTGTGGCTTCAAAGCATTATTTTTAATGGAAGTCTCCTCACCAATGTCCACTCATTCCCTTCTCTTATACACCCCTTTCCACAGCCAGCTACGCGGCCTTTGTAGTCATACTTCCTAATGTCACCAAGTCCTACACGGCCATGGGTATGTCATGACACATCGATGTTGAGTAAAACCTACTCCTCTCTGAACTCTCCACTAAACCCTTTTCCGCTAAAGCCATCAATGAGGTGTCGGATACTGAACTGGGAAGTTGTTTTTTAAATAAATGATGGTTGTGTTATTAATGGAAGACCTCAGCGCTCCAGGCAAAAATGAAAGCACCTGGAATTGCTGTGTTCACCCAGAAGCCCCAGCCCGTCTGCCTGGTCCTCGCTTCTTGTCACAGCGGAAGTGACTAGCACTGTGGAAGTCAACGTTGCTGAGCGGCGCTGGGCTTCAAAGAGCAGTAGCATGAACTAGAACCTTGGTAGACAAGAGAAAATTTTTTTGAAGTTTTCTTATTCTTAAATTCCAAAACTTTAAAAATGTTCATCACAATTTTTCCACTGAAGAATTTGAACGACATAAGGTTAGCAGGAAAGGGTAGGTAAAAACGATGAGCCGTAATCAATTAAAGCCGTAATCAATAGGGCACCAAGTACCAATATTCCATCAAATAAGGTAATTTCTGTAGCTACCTTATTAAGACGCTGACTGATGACCAGCACTGGGTGACCCTTTGCTAGCTGGCAGTCACAAATCGAAGGAAACAAAGACCTGTCAAATACTGGGCCACTTCATACGAAAAGGCTTGGAATCAAATTTCTTGGTAGCCGTTCCTCAAATGCATGCAATTTATATTCCTAATTACGCTGGTGGAAAAGGTGTTCTCATCCTTCATAGTTGTAAAGACTTGGCTTCTAAACATTTTCAGAATGATCCCAGGTGGTATAACTCTCATCATTTAATAAATATGCTTATGATGCCTTCGGCACTGGTATTCATTCTTCTTATGTTATTGATTACGTGGTCAACTTCAGTGCAGAGTTCTAAATCAGAACCAGGCTGACGTCAGTGGGAAGGTTGTTTTCCACGTCTGAGGCTGCTTTTAGAGTGGTGCTTGTGTGCGTCCATGCTGTCACTGTCCTGTGTGTGTCTCGTTTATTTTTCTGTGTCAAAATGCATTCTACCTTTATTGTGGCTTTTTACATTAATTTTGAATACTAGGTAAAATTTGAAGCTTTGAAACTTGACAGCACAATCACAGTAATATTTTGTCCCCTCTGATTTTATCTGTGGCATTAGCAAAATCTCAGACGGAGGCTTTAGAATTCAAAATGGTTTTTAATCCCCCCCCGCCCCCCCTTAAGCAAGTTAAACTTAATCAGATTCAGGAAGTTTGCAATGAGCAGTTTAAAGCAACAATAAGATGTTCTGGAACAACAGGCTGATGCAGAAATTAGGTTCCATTTGCACATCACTTTATCAAATTCTTAAAATAGTTTAAAGATATTTTTCTGTTGGTCTGTGTGACTAAAAGAAATTCTTAAAATATATATTTTTTTCAGATGCTTCTTAATGCAGAAAGATTCATATTAGAGTGGTTTGTTTACCTCGGGTCTATGGCCAGAGCCCTCTTTTCTGCATTAAAAAACATCATTGTGGGGATCAGTGCAACAGTTTTTTGCAAAATATCCAAGTTTAATCAAACAAATTAGTGGTTACCTGTTGTTTTAGAACATTTTTATTTTGATAATTTTATGTGAGCTGAAAAGTTTTAAAAATTGCTACCAAATTCAGCTTCACTCCCTTCTTTTCCAAAAGAAAGGAAAATGTTGGGGGGGAAGCCATGAATAGGTTATGTAAGAGAAACACTACTCAGCGCCCCTGAGAAGCATTTTAAAGATGCAAGTTGGTAATGAACTTGTTGAGGCCCCTGGAGCAGGCTTATCACACATTACCCAACTTTCCTCTAAGACACTTAAACTTGGCTTTTTACATTTCAAGACAGAGAAAACCAAAAGCCTGAAAATATTAATCCCTGAGCTGTGAGCAGTGATCCTGCTGCCTGCTAAGTTAAACTCTTACACTGAAACAGGACGTTTCGAGTATTTGGTAACGAGAGTTACAGTGTTTCAAAATTAGGTTTTATCCAGGTAAGACAGCCACCTGAGACGCGAAGGTACTGAAGCCTTTCTCTTCTCTGCACTTACCCCTGTGAGGTGTGAAACGCGGCTCTTCAGGGAACTGCATCTGAAAAGCAACCTTAACTCCAGCCTGAAGCACCTGCTCTGCATGAGGCGTGCCTGTCTGTTCTGCCCACTAGTCCTCCTTCCAAGCAGCACCTCTGCTTTAGGGACTCATCTGGTCGCAGCATTTCTTAAGGAGAGGAAAACAAAACAAAAAGAACTGGAGACAATTCAGTAACTTGAAAGCTTGAGGAAAATAAACCCACCAGTCTGTGATTGGGTTTATTTAGAAAAGAGGCAAGTTAATTAAAAAAAAAAAAGAAAGAAATGTCTGGAAAGCGAGTGCCTCATATTACAGAGTTCAGAAAGAACCGTTTTTATGCACAATACTTAAGTTCCCCCTACCTGTTAACCATCTGAAGCCCTCTCCTCTCTCTGCAGACAGAGCACACGCCTCCCTACGATGTGGTACCGTCCATGCGGCCCGTGGTCTTGGTGGGCCCTTCCCTCAAGGGCTACGAGGTAGGTCGCTGCGATCGCGAGCACAGCGCCCTCTGCCGGCTGGACTGCTCGGCGGCTCCGGCTCCCTCTCCTGACTCGAACTTAGACCGTAGAGCGCTCCTACCGCAGAGCGTGGTGTTCTTCCAGCTGCGGTGTGCATGGCTTCCTGTTTGGTTCTGTTTTCTTTTCTGGGCTGTTGCTAGTTTACTCGGCCCCAGGGACACAGTCTCAGATGGAGAGTAACTGAAACCACTTGTGATGCAATGAACTGTCTCGAAAACATCAGGATAAATTCGGGGAACTTGGACTTTTTAAGTGTCTTTGTATCGGAACTCAGACCAGAAAAATGTGCTCTCACATGCTGCTTTTTCCAAATGGGAAGGCCGGGTTTTCAGACATGCTTAAGAGGAGTCAAATTGTTTTGTTGTAATAGTAGCAGCTTTATTGTCTTTTAACTTCTTGTTTGCTCAATTGCAGGTCACAGATATGATGCAAAAGGCATTGTTTGATTTTTTAAAACACAGATTTGAAGGGCGGTGAGTATTTCAGAATCCTGGGTTTTGTGGATTTTGTCTTGAAGATGATAAAACCTGGGTGGGGCAGGCATGTGATCCAAGAGAGAACGACCCTCAGAAGTCTGTGGGTGACAGGAATAAATTCCATCCAGTTCAATCTGATTCCATAAACATTTGTTGTATTTTCTCGGCACATCCTCAGACCAGGATGATCCATCTCACCGTTCCTGCACCTGCATCCGTGGGCTGAACTCGCCCAAGTGCTTGCTGATTAGTCTCATCCCAAATTCATGGCCAGCTGGCCCTCACTGCTGTCAAGAAATCATACTAAATATCCCTAAATACCCCATTTACTATTCTGCTCTTCTAAAAGATTGTCATACCAACTCTTCTCTCCTCAGACCTGTACCATCCCCTGTTCATCTTGCTCTCTCCCATGCATTCGCTTCCTATTTCATTCAGAAAAACGAGACATTGGAGAACCTGCAGGAGTTCCCACCACCACACCCGTTCCCACCACCACCCCCGTTCCCACTTGCAAGTTTGCCTGAATGCTCTGCTTTTCTCTCATTACTATGAGCAGTGATCAACCCACCCACGTGGGTACTAGGCTCCACCCCCCACCCCCACCCCAACACAGCCATCACACTCTTTCCTCTCTCCTCATTAGTCCTTCTCATTGTAATGGAAACACCATAAGCATAGAAAACGCAGTTATTTCTTCCTTCAACAAAAAAGTTGACCTCATTTCCCCTGTAGCTGTCTCATTTTTCTCTTTTTTTTCATAGCAAAACTCCTTGAACAAGTTGTATATACATGCCCTCTTCTCCTAGTTATGTGTCCATCACTCAACCAAAACGAGTCATGTCAGCTCACTCATCACGTCAGAGACCCTCATGTTGCTAACTCCAGAGTGACTCTGCAGTCCTCCTCTTAACTGGCATGGAGGATCACCATCCTCTTTTAAATATTTCGTTTGGTTTCTGGAACCACACCTGCCTGTTTTTTTTCTGTCTCGCTAGCTACTGTCTCCTTCGCTGGTTCTTATCAACTAGACACCTTGGAAAGCTCAGGGCTAAGTCCCTTGCTCTTCTTGCTCTTCTGTCTACACTTTCTTGGTGATTTTATTTGATGTCAGATTTTTCTTTTAATCCTTACCAGAGAATATTTTTCTATTTATCTTCAGATAGAGTGGGAAGGAGGGAGGAAGGAGGGAAGAAGGCAGAGAAAGAGAAAGAGAGAGAAACATCAATGTGAGAGGGACACATCAACAGGTTGCCTCCCACGCAACCCGACCAGGACCAGGCTGGGGATGAACTGCATTCGAGGTATGTGCCCTTGGCCAGAATCAAACCCATAACTCATTGGTCTGTGACTGATGCTCTAACCACTGAACCAAATCAGCCAGGGCTGATGTCAGGTTTTTAAGTGGCATTCTTTCATTGGTCTCTCCTCTTAATTTCAGACCCATATATCTAACTGCCTACTCAGCATCACCACTGAGGTGTCTAATGGACTTCTCAGACCTAACCTCCCAAATTCCCCGCAACCTGCTCCTCTCATTGTCTTCCATTTCTCAATGGATAGTTTCTTCATCTTTCAGTCCCAAGACCTTTCAGCCCCAGATCATTGAACCATCCTTGACTGTTCTTTTTCTCTTGCATCTCACACCCAAATACTGTTACCTACCTGTGTCTTCAAAATATATGAAGATTCGATCCACATTTTACACATTCTCTGCTTTTGGTCTGAGACATTATTATCTCCTCCCTGGATTATTGCAGTCAATAGCCTCCTAACGTCCATCACTGCTCCCTGAAAGTCTGCTGTCAATTGAGCAGCCTCAACAACCCGGGTTGGCTGTGAGCTGGATCTTATCACTCCTTTGTTCAGGTCTATTCAGTGTCTTTTCTTTTCATTCAGCATGAAAACCCAAGTTCTTATAGTGACCTCAAAGACCCCCTATGGCTTGACCGTCCACACCCCTCTTGCCTTTGACTTTATCTCTTACTACTCTCCCCTTGTTCCTCTGTTCCTGCCACAATGATTTCCTCGTTATTCTGGGAGTCTTCCAGACAGCCAGATACATACTTCCCTCAGGGCCTTTGCACTTGCAGTTTCCTGTACTAGGAGTACTTTTCCCTCAGATGTTCTTCTTAGTATATGTGCATGCATTCACACGCACACACACACACACACACACACACTCATCATTGGTTGATCCTGGCATGTGCCCTGACTAGAAATTGAATGCGCAACCTTGGTGCATGGGGTCGATGCTCTAATTAACTGAGCTACCTGGCAGGGCTGAGAAATGCAGAGATGTTGAAGACACTCACTGCCTTTGCCTATAAGGAGCTTATGTGTAAGCCATAAATTGAAACCTCAAGCAGTAAAATATAAAGTAAATCAAAGGGTCCGGCTGGTGTGGCTCAGTGGTTGAGCACCGACCCATGCACCAAGAGGTTGCCAGTTCAATTCCCGGTCAGGACACATGCCCAGGTTGTGGGCCAGATCCCCAGTGTGGGGTGTGCAGGAGGTGGCCAGTTGATATTCTCTCTCATTGATGTTTCTATCTCTCTCTCTCCCTCTCCTTTCCTCTCTCTGAAATCAATAAAGGAAAAAAATAATAAAATAAATCAACGAGCAGCTCAGTGGATGTGTGTCCACATAAACAGAGGGAGGATTAACACTGATTTAAGGATGTCAGCATCCAGGAACCTATGGATTTTAAATGGAACCTGTGGTTTCACTACCAAGTATATCAGGAAGAGAAGGGGCATGTCCACCAGAGGGTATGAGTGTGTGGCGTCAGGGTGTGACACAGCATCATATGTGAGACAGGCTACCCGAGCGGTCCTCGAGTCAAGCCCAGGCAGAGCGGTGGTGACACAGCGGGGCCATGCCCAGTGTGTCATGTCAGTCATCTTGGACTGACATCTTTTTCCTCTCCTCCCCTCCCCTCCTCAACTTGCTTCTCTATTTAGTGAGCATATTCTTGGTGCCAGGCTTTACGAGGAGAAAAGCAGATAGGACCTTGGCTTCCAGGCGCTGATAGTCTGTGGAAAGGCAGCCTTGAGCCATATAACCAGGGGCTCCATGGTAAAGGCGAAGCCCACTTCTGATAGGAGTCTAATGAGGAAATTCAAATACGGGGCTGGTGACTGTCTGTGTCATTAACAAGATGACTGTGCTGCCTCTTCTCCACGTTCCTGTCTCCTCCTGTCCTTACAAAGTACAGCAGATGGTATCTGTAGGTTTCGGAGTTCTTTTAGATTTCTTAATACAGTACATTCTCCCTCGACCACGCCTGCTTCTACGACCATTTCCAATTTATAATGACTTTCGGCAGGAGAGGCGAGGACAAAAAGAGAAACTTCTAGGAAGACAAGTATTATTAGGAATCAAACAAAGGACTGAAAGAGACAGAAAAGGCAAACAGTTCAAGGAATAAAAGGACTTTATGATCAAAGTCTACCTAACCAAATGCACTAATTGGATGTTTGGGTTTTCCATCGCTTTATGAAATATATTTTATGTTGTGCCAGGAAACACAACGTGGTCCTTGGGCCTTTGGCGTGGTCCAAGGCCGTCTGGCTCTGGCCAGGTATCAAAGGCTTGCCTCTGATCGGGCCCGTTTCGCTTTCACTTCCTTATTCTTGGCCCTGTCATTTGTCACACTTTGGAACTGTGCACATGAGCGTGCACGCCCAGAAAAGCCTGCGAGACTAAGCACTGTGCTCCCCGGGACTGAGGTACCCTCTGCCCTTTCCTAAAAGCCAGAGATGGGAAGTGGGCTGGGATTTCCTGATTACGGCTTCTGTTCAAACCCAAGTATGTTGGAAGAGAGATTCCAGCCATGGGGTGCATCTTGGACCTGTGTTAAAAGTATCAGCCATCCAGATTGGTGTCACTGAAGGATACACATACAGAATATCTGCATGTTGTAGCAGCCTTTCGTTTCTGGCCAGAAGTAATTTCCATGGGGCTTTATGAATGGACTCACCCTGGCTCCTCGACTCAGAGAGCTGGAGTTCAGCTTTGTAGGCCTGTGATCACCAATTAAAGATCCTTGAAGGAAGTAATAGAGTCCATAAGGCAGAATTTCTGAGAAAGCCATACAAAAATGGAACTTTTTGTTTTACTCACGGCAAGACAGTCAGAGTAACTGATTTGTCAAGTGTCTTTGCTTTTGGCAAGCCAAGATAGCAGTAGAGGGTAGGAAGTCATCAAAAGCATCAGGTATGTCTAATTCTAAATAGACATGTAATTCTAAAAGGAAAAAGTGAGTTACTCATTAGTTGTCTATTAAATAAACTAATTGTTTTAAGATTAAAGCCAAAGAGGGAGAAAACAGGAAAGGAAGTGCTAGTGATGAAAAGATTCGAGATAGTAATTCTTTTCTGTTTTTAAATCTAGCTGAGATCATTTGCCACAGCCTGGAGAGTTGTCAGAATCATGATCCTCGTTGTTAAAATAGCATTTAAGTGTGTCAGGTCAAAGAAAAGATGATACTTCATTATCCTTTCTGTTGTGTACAATAGGGTAGCCCATTTAAATTGCACGACTCTAACCACTGTGTCATGTAAACAAAGCAGTTTCCCGACTCACCTGGTAGGACCGTGACAGTAAATGAGCAAGGAATCAGGGACAAGGAGGAAAGCTACCATTAGTGGTGAATTCGGTTGTCCGCCCAGTGACTGGAAAATGTCAGCTCTTAGCACTGAAGTGTGTCGAATTCATACTGGATCGCTGTAGGGACATGTATATGTTGAATCTTGTGCAAAGGGATCCCATTAGAAAATCAACAATCCTGGAAAACATTATATCACTTTATTTGGTGGGAAATTTACTTGAATATGAGACAACTCCTTCTACACTAGTGGATGCGTACCTTGGTTGCATATTAGAATTACCTACAGTGTTTTAAAAATAAAACTAAATAAAAAACAAGGGCTTACATTCCACCGGTGACTAACTGGAGCCAGACCTCTAGGGTGGGACCTAATGTAACTTACAAATGTACATGGCCATTTGATGTACCAGAAAGGGTGAGAGCCACTCCTCTAAACCGAATTGTCCCCAGAGTGTTGCCCTTAGGATTTTCTAAGGGCTTTTTTTCCTGGTGGAAACTCCAGTGATGACAGTTCCCACAGCACACCTCAAGGAGCCGATAGCACGGGCCGGTCTCTGACAGCACACAGCTCACCGGCAGGCAGGTGGCGGACGCCTGGCCGGGCAGTACCATGTGCGGAAAGGAAAAGGCTGGGGACAAAGGGGAAGGCGCTGTCCTTCTGCTGATGGGTTTAGACTTAAGACACTCTTGTCTGTCTTGTCACCACTGTGATCCCAGGATGGTGCCCATTACAGGGCAGCCTCTTTAGAAGCACAGGACCCAGATTCTGGTCGTCAGCAGTGCGTGGGGCCCGCTCAGCTGTGCTAGTAGAATGCCCAGCACCCCGGGTACCCACGCTTCCTCTGCCTCGAACACCCCGCCCACGGTACCCATGTGGCCCAGTGGTTGCCAGGGGCGGGGTAGAAGCAGGATTGACCGCAGAGGGGTAGCACGGGGGACTTTGGGGGGTAGTGGAATTACTCTACATCACGAATGTGATGGCGGATATGAACTCCGTGAATTGGTCCCAATTCATAACGGATCAGTTCTGTGCTCTACAGATAATTTTTTTGCAAAATCCAGTCATCCCTTTCCAGACTGTACTGAATGCACTGTTGTCCGACTGGCAGCCAGTTTTAACTGCATTAGCTGTACCTTTTGTATTGATTTCTTGCCTCTAAAGAACGTACTTAACTTGCTACCCAGGTTTTCAGTGTTAGGCATTATCTGACCTCTCCCGTGGAGAATGCAGCTCCCGTGCACCTTCTTCCCGTCTCTCACACACCTGCACGCACAGCTCATCCTCCCGTTTCCCAACGAAATTTTTGGCTGGCTCCATTTTAAGTATGTATTATAGCCATGTAAATAGTCTTTAAGTGGGCCATGTCATACATGTGATTATTTTTTCATGTGTGTTTTCTTTGCTGTACTATGATAAATAATTTTACTTTTTATACTTACTTGCTTAATTTCCTAGATGTTTGGCACTAATTCAGCCCCAAATCCCACCTGCCCCCGCCCCGTCCCCGCCTGGTCTAAATCTCCTCACAGTAGATTCAGATGTACCAGATAGTCTCTCAACTTCGTCTTTTTGACTCCCTCTCTGGGAGGTTCTGGCCCGCTCCCATCAGGATGGTTTCTCTCTGCACTGGGGTACCTTTGTCATTCTGGGGCCTCCCTTGTCACTGTCCTTGGGATTGCTGTCTCCTTTCCGTTTGGGTTGGAGCCCCTTTTTCCTGGACCCCTTGGTGTCTTTCAGGACTTACCCTGCCAATTTAGTCAACAACATCCTCTAATAGTTTCTCTAGAAAGAGTACATAAAAACTTTCTCTGAGACCTGTCTAAAAGTGTTTTTGGCCTTGGCCAGTTGGGTGTCATCCCACGCACCAAAAGGTTGCTGGTTCAATCCTGGTCAGGGCACATGCCCGGGTTGCAGGCTTGATCCCTGGTAGGGGGTGTGCAGGAGGCAGCCGATCGATGTTTCTCTCTCTCTCTTCCTCCCTCTCCCTCTAAAATCAATACAAAATATTTTTAAAATAAATAAAAATGTCTTTAATCAACCCTTCCATTTAAGTGATAGTTCAAATGGTAATGGAATTCTGATTGGAATGATTTTCCCTCCGAATTTTTAAGGCTTTGTGCTCAATGGGAACCGTTTTTCCCTCTGGACGCTTTTGGATTTTGCTTTGTCCCCTGCGTCATGAAATGTATACGGATATGTCGTTCAGCCATTGTGCTGGGCCCTTTTGATTCGGAAAGTCAGACTCTTAATTCTAGAATTATTTTCTTAGTCCCTCTTTTTTTAAGTTATTTTTTAAAAAATGTTTTTATTGATTTTTTTAGAGAGAGAGTAAGGGGGAGAGAGAAAGAAACATCAATGTGCGATACATCCGCTCAGCTGCCTCCTGCACGCCCCCTACTGTGGATGGAGCCCAAAACCTGGGCATGTGCCCTGACAGTGACCTCTCGGTGCATGGGACGATGCTCAGCCACTGAGCCACACCAGACCTCTTATTATTTGCAAGTTGAACCTTCTAGATAATTCTCTCATTTTTATACCTTTCATCTCCTGTTTTCCATCTCTTTGTCACTTGTTTTACCCTTTAGAAGATGTTCTTAACTTCATCTTCTAACCCTTCTGTAGGATTTTCATTTCTATTGTTATATATTTAATTTCCAAAAACTCTTTCTTCCTCTGAGTTTTGAAATAGAAACTTGTTCTGGTACATAGGTATACTCATTGCTTAGCTTTCAACTTTGAATGTTATTGTTGGTTGATCTTTCCGTCTCTTTTGGTCTCTCGTGTGGGAGGTTTTCCTGAGAATGCCCAGTGAGCATTGCTGCGCTCAGGTTTAAGAATGGGCTGTGAAATACTCAGCTAGACATTCCATGCCATCGGTGGGGCTTATCACCTTTGTTTCCTTATGGGACAGCCTCTCTGGACAATCTGTGTAGAAAACCACCAATGTCATTATCTCTAGGTCTTTTCTCTTTGGAGGTCAGATTCCCTAGAGAAAAATCTTCCATTTAGAACCCTTTATTTTCCGAATAATACGTATTCTCTGCTCTGCCTAGGGTCCCCTGGTCAGAGACCCTCTGTTTTATTGCCCGTGGAGACTAAACCAGCACACAGGGAAAGGATGACCACCGGGTGGCTTGATGTAGTGGAGGGGAGGTGGAGGGCTCTAACTCTGAAACTCTTCAACCAAACCTCCTATTCTAGTCCCCCCTTCACCTTCTTCAAAGATAAGCAGACCCTTCTGCTTTTTTCTTCACCCCCTTTCTTACTGCTGGATGGTGTACTCGGCTGTCTCCTGTCTAAGTCATTTGTACTTCCTAGCTTCCAAACCTTCTTCTCACTTCTACCCTATCGACAGTGACCCCCAACTAATTATTGTCCGTCACAACACCGTGTCCTTTCCTTTTCGCAACAGTCATCTTAATCTTTAATTACTTTACTCATTTATTTTCTTATTATTTGATGATCTCTGGCCATTAGATTCTTAGCTCTCCAAGGAAAGACCACGTCTGTCTTGTCTTACTCATTTTGTGCCAATCATAGCACCACATGTACGGGAGGGTCTGTAACATGGGCTCAAGGGAGCCTGGGTTCAAATCCCAGCTTCGTCATTTTTAGTTAATATGTAACCTTGAATGGAGAATCTATTTATGGCTCATTTTCTTCATCAGCAATAGTGGTTTATCGATAATAAGCCCGTCTATTAAAGTTTGGGGGATGATTTAATGAGATGGTCCTGGTAATGAGATAATGTTTAGTACATACTTGGCAATTGGTAAGGAACCAATAAATGCTAAGTTAGGTAGTGCAAGATTAAAAAAATAAATGACCAAGTGCTCTAACACTTTTTGGTTTGAAAATATGGTCATTTTATTTATATATATGTATATTTCATACTTAGATGAGTTTAAGGCATGTATTTTTGTCCCTTTTTATTCAATTAATAACCCCAGGGTCTTCTGTTACTTTTTCCCAACAGGATATCCATCACAAGAGTCACCGCTGACATCTCGCTGGCCAAACGCTCAGTGTTAAATAACCCCAGCAAGCACGCAATAATAGAAAGATCCAACACAAGGTCAAGCTTAGGTAAGTGCGCGCTGCGGATGGACATAGCTATTTAAACACATCTCCCTGAGGCTGCCGATGAGAAGCTCCAACTAGATGCTAATCCCGTGTGTCACAGAGCAGAGACTGCTAGTGGTGCAGTCGGAGTGATTTCGTGGCATGAAGAATCTGTTATGATGGTTTTGAGTTAAAAATTCCACAAGCTGTCAGTGTGAATGTTTTGGTTGTGGTTTGTTCTCACTTATGTGAGCGTTGGTGTCTACACATGCAGAACATTCCTGGCGCTGTGTCCGTGTTCCCATGAGCAAGTTCATTACCTCTTTAAGGCCCAGTTTCCTCATCTAAACAAAAGAGATGATACTAACTTATCTATAGAATTACTGTAAGAATGAAATAGAGCGTGTCCTCCATAAATCCCTTCATACTTGAATTATATCCATAACTATCTCATGTTCAGGATAGTATAGTGTAATGTGTGAGTGTGTATGTGAGTGTGTGTGTGTCTTGAGCTTGATAAGGGATGAAGTAAATTCCTGGTTGTTTTCCACTGATGGATAATATATATATATCAGTATTTTAACTTTGTTGGTAGAAATAGTATAGAGATTCTGCTTAATGCACGTACAGGGTTGTGCTTATGAACTTGTACTAATCTGGTGGAATGAGACCCGTGGGCAGCTGCCTCATCTCTTCGGCATGTGCTTGGAATCTTAGGCTAATCCCTGTTGCCCATGGAACTCACTGGGTTGTTAGGTTTCTGTTTTTAACAAGTACATTTTCTTAGGCTTGAATGAGATTTTTTATTTTACTTTTTTCTATTTGTATGTTAAATATATAAATCCTTTGAGAGAGCGGCTTTTAACATAGAAGTGTTTATTCTTCTTTGAAGTATGTTATTTAAACAATGGAGAAACTGTTAAAAATAATAAACTCTCTAGTAGTCATGAATAGAATAATTTCTAGAACTTACTTTTGTTCATCACCTAATAACCCATCAGTGACTTAAACTTCCGTAATTTAGCTTTAGAAATGTACCGGGGTGGGGGCGATGCGATCATACATTTTTATAGTGACTTGTTTTCATATCCTTTATCATCTGTGGCCCTTAAAACTCTTCCTATATATTGTTGATGCTCATAGTAGTTATTACAAAATGGTCATTTCATTGACTCAACTGATTAAACAGTCAAGAGATTTGTTTAGACTCATCAGTTGAATCAATGGCATAACAGGTTTGTTTAGCTTGCCAAGCTCTTTGTAACTACTAATTTTGTATTATTTTTAAATAACTCACCACTTCATATACTTTATGAGCAGACACAATGACTGTTATGCAAAAGTCTGGGAATAAAAAGATGAATTAGATGGATGAAGCCCCTGCCCCCAGGGATCTTTGTGTAGCAGTAAAACAATAAGTTAACCAGCCATTGAATCAGAGGGTGGTGAGTAGACTTGCATTGAACTGGCTGCCACAGAGCAAACTGGCTGGAGGGAGGAGCCTCCGGGAAAGGCTTCTCCAAGGGGATAAGCCTGAGCTGAGACTGGCAGCCTGACAGAGTTTAGCCAAGAAGAAAGGGAAAGGGGTGAAGAGGGATTTTAAACAATAGGCATCTGAAGAACAGATGCTTTACTTTGGTTTAGTGAATGGTTTTTAAAAGAGAGATGAGCTGGGTAAGTCAGTTGGTTGGGGCATCATCTCGATACGACAAGGTTCAATCTCTGGTCAGGGCACATACAGAAATCAACCAATGAATGTATCAATAAGATCAATAAGTGGAATAACAAAATGATGTCTCTCTCTCCTCTCTCTCTCTCTCCCTCCTCCTTCCCTTTCTCCTTCTCTCTCTCAAATCAGTAAATAAAAAAAAATTTTTTTTTTAATATTTTTTCTTTACTGATTTGAGAGAGAGAGGAAGGGAAAGGGAGAGAGAAATAGAAACATCAATGAGAGAGAACATCGACAGGCTGCCTCCTGCGTGCCCCTCCCTGGGGATTTAGCCTACAACCTGGGCATGTGCCCTGACCGGGAATCAAACCAACAACCTCTTGGTGCAAGGGTCGATGCTCAACCACTGAGTCACACTGGCCGGGCTAAAAATATTATTTATTTAAAAGTACTTTTTAAATAAAAAACATATAGAGATACAAGAGAAAGGTGGGAAGTGACACCAGAGATGGGGGAAGATATTTAGAAATTTGGAGCTTATCCTTAAGACATTACAGAACCATGTAGATTTTAGACATCTGTTCATCCATTTAACAAGTACTGGCTTAGCAACCACAGGCTGGCCGTGGTGCTACGTGCTGGGGGCACCGAAGTGCTGGGGGCACCGACGTGGAGGACACCAAGTCCTAGCTCTCGGAGAGCTCGTTTCACGGGAAGACACGCAGGGCAGTAGATGCGGACGCAGACGGAGGCAGGGGTCCGGTTGATGAGTTGCAGAAGCAGCAGGCCAAGCCCCAGAGAGGGAGCTGAGGAAGAGGGTGTGATTTTATGTGGGGAAGTCAGGGGAGGCCTCTTTGAGGAAGTGGCATTTTAGCAGAGAGATATGTGAAGTCTGCAGCTACGTTTCTCATGCAGGACTTTGTAGGCCTCTTGGTGTGGCTGTTGGAAGCCGCAGGTGAGCGGAGAAGCGACGTGAGTTGGCCGTGTTGCGGGGGCAGCTCTGTGGAGGGGGAGCGCGGCCGGCGTGGGACGGAGGGAAAGAGGGTGCTGCTGGAGCGGCCTCGGACGGCACTTTGTGGAGACAGGCACAGAATACAACCGATGCCTTAGAAGAACCCTAGTTAGCGGGGGCAGGGAGGCCACGTAGGAGGGCGCGGCCACCCTTCAAGTGCGGGAACAGAGGCCTGAATGACAGAGGGAATGAGGAGAACGGACGGAGTTCGAGGTTCGTCCGGATTTGGCGCCTGTGGAAGGCGAAGGAGAAAACTCCAAGGTGATTTCCAGGTTTTTGCTTTGAGAACCTGGGAGAGTGATGGTGTTATTCTGAGGATCAGGGGTGTAGGATGAGGGGTTCGGGATAAGGAACCCCTTTGTTGGAGGGAGTGTTCTGGGGAGGGGGATGAGGAAGGCTAAGGCTGTTTGCAAACACGTGGAGTTTGCAGCGCATGGAGCGTCCACGCCCCGCAGGCCGCTGTAGGTACCGGTCGGAACTCGGCCGAGTTCCCCGCAGACAGTGAATTCGCGAACACTGAGCCGTGGCTTCTAGAAGAAATGCAGGGATAGGTTCCCGCAAGCCTCTGATCACAAAGTTTTCATCAGCTGATGAGTACATGACCTATTTTCTGCATGTTTCTGTTTAAAGACCTTATATACTTATGAGTATATATACTGTTGACTCAGCATTGAACTCAGTTACCAGCTCTGTAATTCATGCCTGAGGCAGCTTGGCTAACACGTTTTTCTCTGCAGACAGCACTTGAGCACTAGGTTTGGGGGCCACTTTAAACAGTGAAATCTCTCTCTCTCTCTCTCTCTCTCACACACACACACACACACACACACACACACACGAGAAAAACATGGTACTAAACAGACCACGAGAAGGACGCTGTTTAGTGTGAGAGTGGAAGCCAGAAGGCAGTGTCAGCGTGCAGTGGGGGACTTCCGACGCTGTGCGCGTGCCCCCGAATGACAGGCTGCAGAATGCCACAGTGTGGGTTTGGGGCTTTGCAAATAACTTTTAGCTGGTAGGGAAATCTGCAAGTACACACGTTCTGGGTGCCAGCTAGGTACCAGGTTCTGGACTGAGGGAATGCTGAGAAGTAATCCTATGTTATTCCCAGTCTCTGGGAGAGTTTGTAATCACATCGCCAACATGCAGTGCGACAAGCATTAACAGAGGTAGGTACAAAGCCACACTTGACATTTATTAGTATTTCCTTTGGGCCACGCACTGTAATAGGTGCTTTGTGCATTGATTCATTTAGTCCTCATTTCCACTTTACAGATAAGAATATTTACCGACTCCCAGAAGGTAAGCAGGTTACTCAAGGATCACAGCTCTGTAAAGTGATGAAGCCTAATTTCTGCCCTAAGCCACTTTGGTGCCCGAGAGAGAACAGAGGCAGAAATTACTGGCTGGGGAAAGGAAGAGGTTCCTGGGGAGGGCTTTACAGATTTCCTCTTTTAAGCATTTGTCAAAATTAGGGCTTTGTGTTTATGAAAGTGGCACTGGAATTACTGAATAACTAATACAAGGGCTGCCTCGAGGTCTTATTAATTCCTACCTGACCACTTAGATGTCCCCCAGCACTAGCCACAATGAAAGTAACAAGCTCCTCTCTGCACAGTACTTCTTGTTACTGCAACTTCTTCCTAAACAAGTTAACTTACCTTCGTTCTTGTCTTGGACATGATGGTTGTTCCTAAGTACTACTTTTAGATATCAGGGATATAAAGTATCAACAAAAATACTGTTCATTTTCTAATTCAATGTGTTTGAGAGACTAGGATGTGGACAGATCAATAAGAGTTGCCTTGCCCAGCTGGTGTGGCTTAGTGGATTGAGTGTCAGTCTCATGAACTGAGAGGTCCCTGTTCGATTCCCAGTCAGGGCACATGCCCAGGTCGCCGGCTTGATCCCCAGTAGAGGGTGTGCAGGAGGCAGCAGATGTTTCTCTCTCACATCGATGTTCCTATCTCTCTCTCTAAAAACAAACAAAACCGTATTTTAAGTTACCTCATCTTCGCTGAGTGTGCCTTTCTGCACTAGTTAGGACAACTCGGATGGACCCAACTGGCTTTATGCCTTCTTTCAGTTTCAGCAATGAATGTCAGATAAGTCTTGGACTTCTCTTTCTTGAAATAAATTCTGAGCATAATGTACTCTGTCAAAGGAAACCCCTAGTAGGAATACATTTCTTTTAGAAGTCATCAGTTTTACTTGGAAGTTAAAAATACTTTCTTCAGAATTTATTAGTCATCTTTCCTTACGGTTTATTTACTAAGAATATGTTGCATTGGGATTCTGAAGAACCATTTTAAAATATCTCATTATCTCCCTTAGTTTAAAAAG